TCAAGCTCCATGCCCACCCCCAAAAAAAAAAGAGTATCATGGAGGGCTGGGAAGGTGGCTCAGTGGTAGAGTACTTGCCTTCCGTGCATGAGGCCCTGGATTCGATTCCTCAGCACCACATAAGCAGAAAAAGCAGGAAGTGGCACTGTGGCTGAAGGTGGTAGAGCACTTGCCTTGAGCTGAAGAGTTCAAAGACAGTGCCCAGGCACAGAGTTCAGGCCCTACAACCGACAAAAAAAAAAAAAGTATCATGGAGCTGGACGCTGATGGCTCACACCTGTAATCCTAGCTACTCAGGAGGCTGAGATCTGAGGATCATGGTTCAAAGCCAGCCCAGGCAGGAAAGTCAGTGAGACTCTTCTCCAATAAACCACCAGAAAACGGAAGTAGGACTGTGGCTCAAGTGGTAGAGCGCTCGCTTTGAGCTGAAGAGCTGAGGGACAGCGCCCAGGCCCAGAGTTCAAGACCCACAACCGGGGTGGGGGGGGGGGAAGAATATCATGGACTTTTCCTGACTAGGCTGGCTTTGAACCATGAACATCAAATCTCAGCCTCCTGAGTAGCTAGGATTTATAAGCTTGAGTCACCAGCTCCTGGCTTGAGTTTAACATTATTTCTGATCACCTAGGATTTTTTTCTGACTGCATAAGGAGAATAAATCAGGAAGTGATAGAGCCTAGTGTAAACTAGGTTAAGAAACCATCTCTAGAGTAAGTTGACATATCATCAATTTATTGTCAGTAGATGAATCATCAGATATAAATTTTGTTTGCCAGTAAATTATTCTGTACTTTACTTTGGCTAAATTGTTGCCTTTTCATCTCCTTAGTGTGTAAAAGAAGAAAAACATGAATCTGAATTTCTACCTTCAGCTAAAGGAACCTTTAATATTTCCATCAGTGGGGGTAAGTCCATGTTGGTTGGATTTCAAATTTTTTTAAACCATTTGAAGACAGTTTTAAGTTAGGAGAGAGAGAGAGAGTGTGTGTGTTTGTGTGTGTGTGTTGTTTTGAGACAAGATCTTGTTTTATAGTCCAGGATGGCCTTCCAAGTAATTATTCTGTCTTAGCCTTCCAAGTGCTGGGATCATAGGCATATATATCCTATAGTACCTGGCTGGAAATTTTTTGTCAAAGATAGAAAGGAAGCCAGGCTTCCATGGCTCACGCCTATAATCCTAGCTTCTTAGGAGGCTGAAATCTGAGGATTGCAGTTCAGAGCCAACCTGGGCAGCCCAGGCAGGAAAAGCCATGAAACTCTTTATCTCCAATAAATCACCAGAAAACTGGAAGTGGTGCTGTGGCTCATAGCACTCTCCTTGAGCTGAGAAGTTGAGGGACAGTGCCGAGGCTCAGATTTCAAGCCCCACAACTGACCAAAAAATTAGTATAGGTAATTGGTATCTTAGGAAGGAGGGAGGTATATTTTGATACCTAAGTGATTTTTCAGTAATCCAGTTTAAGCACCCTACAAATGTCATTATTTTACGTGTATCTTAGTTTATTTTTATAGCTCTCTTTCATAAATACTAATAGTTTATGTTAGAAATTTTATCCACCAGTTTTCAAAAACTAGCACTGTGTTCTCCCTTTCTGTTATGTATAAAAGCAGGTATGTAATTTTCTTGTTGTAATAACTGTCTCTGATAATTTGTGTGTTTTATTTCCTTGTTGCAGATATTGATGGCTTAATTACTCAGGCTTTGCTGACTGGTAATTTTGAGAGTGCTGTTGACCTTTGTTTACATGATAACCGAATGGCTGATGCAATTATATTGGCCATAGCAGGTGGACAAGAACTCTTGGCTCGGACCCAGAAAAAATACTTTGCAAAATCCCAAAGCAAAATCACCAGGGTATGTAATTTTTCAAGATAAACAATAACATTTATCTTTTTGTTTGTTTTATTTTTGACACAGAGTCTCAAAATGTAGCCAGGCTGGCCTCAAAGTTTTTTTGTTTTTGTTTTTGTTTTTTGTCAGTCATGGAGATTGAACTCTGGGCCTGGGTGCTGTCCCTGAGCTCTTCACCTCAAGGCTGGCACTCTACTGCTTGAGCCACAGTGTCACTTCTGGTTTTTCTGCTGGTTAATTGGAGATAAGAGTCTCATGGACACTCCTGACTGGGATGGCTTTGAACCACAATCCTCAGATCTCAGCCTCCTGAGTAGCTAGGATTACAGACATGAGCCACCTGTGCCTGGCTAATGATCCCTTTTTCTAAAATGTATAATTTGTTTTATGTTAAGCTTTTAAGAATTTTTCAAATCATGGAAAGCAATTCTTATGGAAAGTATTTCCATAAAATTGCACCAGTTTTGAATCCCAACAACACTGGTTGTCAGTCTCTACAGCCTCAGTTCAAGCTTCTCTCTTTTACTTTGTTTATCTCTCTTTTGTACTTTAACCATAGAGATTATCTTCAATCTCTTACTCCATACGTATTCCTTTCTCTGTGGAATTTTGTCCCCTATTTTAACTTAATCTAGAATGCCTTTTTCTTCTTGTGAAGTTACTTCCTGCTATACTTCAAACTACATCTTCCTGTTCTTTTAACATGCTTTACATGTTATAAAATATGTCTGTGTTTTTCTAAGGAAAAATAATGCTATTTATTGAGTCATTTGGTTGAATTATATACTTCACTTTGCAACTAATTTATTTGGTATGAAGTACAGTGATTAGTGGTTTTGTTTTGTTGTTGGTTGTGGGGCTTGAACTTTGGGCCTGGGTGTTGTCCCTCAGCTCTTCAGCTCAAGGCTAGCGCTCTACCACTTGAGTCACAGCGCCACCTCCGGTTTTCTAGTGGTTTATTGGAGATAAGAGTCTCACGAGGGGCTGAGAAGGTGGCTCAGTGGTAGAACACTTGCCTTGCATGCCTGGGTTCAATTTCTCAGCACCACATAAGCAAAAAGAAAAATCTGGGAAGTGGCGCTGTAGCTCAAGTGGTAGAGCGCTAGCCTTGAGCTGAAGAGCTGAGGGACAGCGCCCAGGCCCAGCAGAGTTCAGGCCCCACAACTGGACCCAAAAAAAAAAAAAAAAGAGTCTCACGGACTTTCCTGCCTGAGCTGGCTTTGAACCGTGATCCTCAGATCTCAGCCTCCTGATTAGCTAGGATTACAGGCATGAGCCACTAGTACCTGCTTTGATTAGTGGTTTTGAAAAGTAATGCTGGAAATATAATTCAGCAGTAGAACTTTTTATGCATATGATCTTTGTTTAAATCCCTAGAACTGTAAGTTAGTGAGTGAGCCAATTAATGGAATCAGTGTGTAAAGGAATGAATGGAGAAGTTAATTTTCCGTTAAGCATGTGTTAATAAAGTTAATTTTTGCCTGGCGCTGGAAATCCTGGCTACTCAGGAGGCTGAGATCTGAGAGTCATGGTTTGAAGCCATCTTTGGGCAAGAAAGTCTGTGAGACTCAGACCAGCTAATTACAGAAAAAGCTGGAAGTGGCACTGTGGCTCAACTGGCAGAGCACTATCCTTGAGCAAAAAATGGAGCCCAGGGACAGGAACAGTACCCAAACCCCAGAGTTCAAGCCCTAGGACTATCAAAAAAAAAAAAGCATTAATATTATAAAAAGTTAATTTTCCCATCGTTTTCCTTTCCCAAGCTCATCACTGCAGTGGTAATGAAGAACTGGAAAGAAATTGTTGAATCTTGTGATCTTAAAAACTGGAGAGAAGCTTTAGCTGCAGTATTGACTTATGCTAAACCAGATGAATTTTCAGCCCTCTGTGGTAAGAAATAAGCTTTCCATTAACTATATTACATAAATGGTGTAAATAAAAGCAATACAGTCTTTATTAGGGATTATTGTAAACCTCTTGATTGTAAGTAAGAATTACAAAATGTAAGCCAAGTGCCACTGGCTTATACCTGTAATCCAAGCAACTCAGGAGGCTGAGAACTAAGAATCGTGGTTTGAAACCACTCTACACAGGAAAATCCGAGACTCTCATCTCCCAATTAACCACCAAAAGCTAGAAGTAGAGTTATTGTTCAACTGGTAGAGCACCAACCTTGAGTAAAAAGACTAAGGAATAATGCCCAGGGCTTGAGTTCAAACCCCAGGACAAATGCACATGTGCGCGCGCACATACACACACACACACACACACATTATAAAATAGAAATGGGAGATACAGCTCAGCTAAGTAGAGCACTTGCCTATCGAGTAGAGGGCCCTCAGATCAATCCCTAACACCACCACCAAAAAAAAAGTAAAAAGAATTATCAAGTACATTACTTTTTTCCTTTCTCCACTTGTTCATTTGTTATTCATTGTGCCATACTGAGGTTTGAATTCAGGGCCTAGGTGCTGCTGTCCTTTAGCTTTTTCACTCAAGGCTAGCACTCTACCACTTGAGCCATAGCCTCACTTTTTAATACTGTTTGGTGGTTCTGGTTTCAGATACTTGACTCTGCTACTTGCTACTAGTATTACCTAGGAAAAATCATTTTAAAAAATCTCAAAGTAGGGCTGGGAAGGTGGGTCAGTGGTAGACTGCTTGCCTTGCATGCATGAGGCCCTGGGTTTGATTTCTCAGCACCACATATGCAAAAAAAGCTGGAAGTGGCGCTGTGGCTGAAGTGGTAGAGCATTAGTTGAGCTGAAGAGCTGGGGGACAGCACGCAGGCCCAGAGTTCAGGCCCCACAACTGCCACAAAAAACTCATCGTATACATCTCTAAATGACATTTACGTATTTCTCATTTACTAAATGTTAGCCATGATAAAATTTTTTTTTTAAAGCCCTAAACAGGTGGAATGCCAGTGGCTTACACCTGTAATCCTAGCTATTCAGGAGGCTGAGATCTTAGGGTTGTGGTCTGAAGCCAAATGGGACAGGAAAGTCCATGACACTTGTATCTTTAATTAACTACCCAAAAAAAACAGAAGTACAGCTGTACTCAAGTGGTAGAGGGCTAGCATTGAACAAGAGAGCTCAGGGACAGTACCTACACCTGAGTTTAAGTCCCAGGACTGCCACAAAAAATATCTCAACCATTTGCTACTTTGAAAATATTCAAATATGAAAATTAAACAACTGTATTTTTCTAAATAATGTATAGTAGATCTACTACTGATAATCTATTCCCAATGAGACATTAGGAATTATTTTATTAAGTAGTTGTACAAAGAGTTTATAATTCCGTAAGTTAGGTTATGAGTACAATGCTTTTTAATCTTTGTCACCCCTTCCATTGTTCTACCCCATTATTCTTCCTGTCGTTTCCCTCAAGTTATGTGGTTCATTTTTTTATATAGTGTATATTGAATATAGTAACTACATTTGCTCACTCTCTATTCGCCATTAGGAATTTTCTATTTAAATATTCTTCCCATTTATTTTTTATTTTAATATAGTTTATGAAAATCAGTTTTATAGCTGGATATAGAATCTTGAGAAATCACTACTTGTGATTTATAATCCACTTAACAAAGGTGTTTACTGAGCATTTAGAGTAAGTTTGTTTCTCTCTGCCACTCATGAGCTGTGAAATTTAGTGCATTCCTCAAAAATATTACTGAATTGCTCACAACTTCATATATACCTTAACTTTTTTTTTTTTCCTTCTTGATTTATAGATCTTTTGGGAGCTAGGCTCGAAAGTGAAGGAGATAGCCTCCTGCAGGCCCAGGCATGTCTCTGCTATATTTGTGCAGGCAATGTAGAAAAACTCGTTGCCTGTTGGACTAAAGCACAAGATGGTAGCAATCCTCTGTCCCTTCAGGTTAGTGTCTGAAAAAAAAAATACTTGCTTTGTAGTGTTTTCTTTCACACTGTTTAAGATCAAGTTATATTCTAGAAATTCAATTATTCTAGAAATGTATTGCTTTCACCCTACTTGCTTTTTGGAGTTTTTTTGCTGAATAATTATGCATTTATTTCTGATTTTAAAGAAGCAGTATTTGAGATGATAGAATAGAAAAATGGGACTGCAACTCTTGGCAAGATAAGTTGTGATGTGGGAGTAGTACGTGGCAGGAATACTGAACCATAGGATTTAGCTCTTTTCCTTATGCTGCTCATGCCTTCAGTGGCTTCACCAAGTGCTTGTGGCTAAGGAATAGGAGGCATCGCAAGAATTAATGGAGAATTTTCATGAGGAAGGAAGAATGAAAGTAAGAAGTCAATGGAGGGCTGGGAAAGTGGCTCAGTGGTAGAGCGCTTGCCTTGTACCACATAAGCAGAAAGAAAAAAGCCGGAAGTGGTGCTGTGGCTCAAGTGGTAGAGTGCTAGCCTTGAGCTGAAGAGCTGAGGGACAGCGCCCAGGCCCAGAGTTCAGGCCCCACGACCGGACTTAAAAAAAATAAAAAAATAAAAAAGAAGTCAATGGAGTCCCCTGTAGCACCAATACACAAACAAGAGAGGTAAAACTGGGACTATTCTTAGGCATCTGAATTAGCTATATTTTTAGATTTTTTTTCTAATGCATATAATTAGCAGTTTTACATTTTGTTAATAATTATATTCTCTGTAGGAAGAGATTTTTTATCAGTAGAGTCATTGCTTTCAATATCATTTCACTGGAACTAAAAATAAGGTAGAAAATCAAAGTGTTTCTTTTAATAGCTTCTGAAAGAAAAACACTTGTTTCACTCTTGGTACACCCTGCATACAGAGTTTACCTTGGATACCAGACCACTGGGCCATTGGGATACATTCAGCACTTATACTATAATACTATATAGCATATATTCCCTTTAAAGGCCATGTACTTTTGTTCCTGGGTCACTTCATAGTAATGGTATTGTTATAGGAAAGATAATATGATGTTTATACTCATAATTCTCTACTTGCAACTACACAGTTTCTACCTAAAGGCAGAAACTATTTCCCAAGCACTTTCACTTTGGATTAATAGCCTATTTTATATCAATAGACAAGTATCTAGCAATTTGAGGATGTTTAGGAGAAGACAGTAACTTATATCCTATCCATAAGTAAAAGACTTCCCTCCTCCTCACTTCTTTTTCCATTTCATAAAATGGTGGTCAACTACTATGTACTTTTCAAATAAGGTTGATAATAGGAATTGCACTTGTACTGGGTTTTGGAAATGTTAGAACCTTTCTCTTTCCCTACTGCTTCTCACACACATGGTCTTAGTATTTCTGTTTTTTTCTTGTTTTCCCTTATTTTTCTCATTTAGGATCTGATTGAGAAAGTTGTCATCCTCCGAAAAGCTGTACAACTCACCCAAGCCATGGACACAAATACTGTAGGAGTTCTTTTAGCTGAGAAGATGAGTCAGTATGCTAATTTGTTGGCAGCCCAGGGTAGTATTGCTGCAGCCTTGGCTTTTCTACCTGACAATACCAACCAGGTATTAGAATAATGTTTGTTTTCTTCTTTTTAATGAATGAATGAAATGAGTCTAATTAGATACCACTTGGTATTAGTTATGCACATGCTAGAACCTGAAATCTATGAAATAGATAGGATCATTTTTGATGTACCCTAGCTCTGCCAGAGAGATAAGATGCTATTGTAATATAATACATGCACTTAACATATACATATATGTGTGTATACAGACACACTCACATATCCAGAGCTATTTGTTTTTATATATTCTTAATTGTAGGATCCAGCTCATATCTTAATATTATATTTTAATAGGAATATTGGGAAGAATGGAAAGTTTTTTTATAATGATTTTATCATAAGCAGTTTTATAAAAACTTTTTTTGTCAGTTGTGGGGCTTGAACTCAGGGCCTGGGCACTGTTCCTGAGCTTTTCTGCTCAAAGCTAGTACTCTGCCATTTTGAACCACAGCTTCACTCCCAGTTTTCCGATGGTTAATTGGAGATAAGAGTCTCATAGAGTTTCCTGCCCAGGCTGGCTTCAAACAGTGATCCTTAGATCTCAGCCTCCTGAATTGCTCAGTAGTTAGTGCCCAGCTTATAAAACTTTTGACTTGGCGCTGGGAAGATGGCTCAGTGGTAGAACACTTACCTTGCATGCCTGAGGCCCTGGGTTCGATTCCTCAGTACCACATAAGCAAAAAAAAAAGCCGGAAGTGGTGCTGTGGCTCAAGTGGTAGAGCTCTAGCTAGCCTTGAGCTGAAGAGCTGAGGGACAGCGCCCAGGCCCAGAGTTCAGGCCCCACGACCGGACCCAAAAAACAACAACAACAACAAAAACTTTTGACTTTTTCATTTTTATATTGAAATGTATTAATAAGACCTTTTATCATAGACTTACTTAATTTTAGTCCTTTAGATCAACTAGTCTTTTTTTTTTTTTTTTGGTCAGTTGTGGGGCTTGAACTCTGGGCTTGGGCGCTGTCCCTGCGCTCTTCAGCTCAAGACAAACGCTCTACCGCTTGGGCCACAGCACCACTTCTGGTTTTCTAGTGGTTTTTATTGGAGATAAGAGTCTCATGACTTTCCTGCCCCGGCTGGCTTTGCACCCCTATCCTCAGATATCAGCCTTCTGAGTAGCTAGGATTACAGATGTGAGCCATCATGCTCGGCCAACTAGTCTTAAGATCAAGCTTATTAGCTGGTAATTCTAGCTACTTAGGAGGCTAAGATCTGAGGATCTTTGGTTCAAAGCCATCCTGGGCAGGAAAGTCTGTGAGACTCTTATCTCTAATTAACCACTAAAAAGCCAGAAGTGGAGCTGTGATAGAGAGCTAGCCTTGAGCACAAAAGCTGAGGTACAGTTGAGATAGAGAAAGACATAGAAGGAGGAAGAGAGGGAGAGAGAGAAAGAATTAAACTGTTTCTAGTACTGTTTATATTTTTTCTTTTAAGATTGTCAGATTTACAGGCAAGTCCCACCATACTTGGCCTTATATACATTTTCCATTTGTTGTTGTTGATGATGTTGTTCTTGGGGCTTGAACTCAGGGCTTGGGTGCTGTCCCTGAGCTCTTTTGCTAGTACTCCACCATTTTGAACCACAGCTCCACTTCCAGTTTTCTGGTGATTACTTGGAGATAAGAGTCTCACAGACTTTCCTGCCTGGTTTGGCTTTGAACTGCGATCCTCCAATCTCTGCCTCCAGAGTAGCCAAGATTACAGGCATGAGCCACCAGCATCTGGCGCTTATATACTTTTTCTATGCATTATTTTTCATGCATTTAGTAACATCCTTTATGCAAAAATGCATACTTTGGTGTTAGTGCTTTCTGTTTAGAAAGTAGACTTGGCAGTTTTTGAAGCGTAAGTCCTAAAACTTTGCAATATCTTTGATATACATAATTGCCCCCTACAAAAGTATATCATAAGAGTTTAAATGACCTCATAGAGCCTTTAACAAATTTATATGATTGCATAATTTTTAAGACATAAAAATCAGCTACTTATGAAACATTTTAACACATTGCTTTTTAAAATTTTGTTAACACCTAAAACATATTTATAGCCAGCATATATATGGTCAACTTTTGTAAATTTATATACTCGTAGATCTGTATGAGCTAGAGGTCCAGATTTGGCATCTTTGTATTTTAAGTTATTCTAAAATCTTTTAAAAATTCATTTTTAAATCATTGTTTGCTTCCATTACCATCTTAGCAAGGAGATTTTCTTTGGGGACCTTATTTAGTTGTTGTTTTAGAAGTAATCCTGTGATTTGTGAGGTTAAATAAAGAAAATAAAACCAAAAGAGTGGTTGTAATAAGTGACATGAAACTTGCCATGGAATGAGCATGGTATAAATCTTTGCCTCAGTTAAACTACACTATTATATGATGGTCCTTTGGCACCAGTCTTAAGAAACTACAGTGTTGAATCCTTAAATATCAGAGCCTGTAGGACAATACTTTGGGTAACATGTTGAGAAAAAAAGGGTCTCTTGAATGATTAAATTACTTTAAATCAACGTGCTATCATTGTTGTGTGAAATCAATGTTTTTTTCTTTTTTTCCCATTGCTTCTTATAGCCAAATATTGTGCAGCTTCGTGACAGACTGTGTAGAGCACAAGGACAGCCTGTGCCAGGACAGGAATCACCCAGAATTCCTTATGAGAGGCAGCAGCAGCCATCCAAGGGTAGGCCTGGTGCAATTGCTGGCCACCCACAAATGCCAAGAGTTCAACCTCAACAATATTATCCCCATGTGAGTAACACGATTCAAATAAAGTAGGAATACCTATACATTCCTATTTAAATTTGTAGTTTGTTGGGCGAAAGATCTGTGATATGGTAAAAATAGACAACATAGTTTTAATAATTTTACTTTCTAGATGCTTGAAAGTAGGGTTTATGACCTGCTATTTGAAGTTATCCCTGATCAAACAGATTATATTTTGATACAAGTCAGTTTTAAACTCTATAGAAAGATTTGTTCTCAGCTATTTCTCATCAAACATCGCTTACACATGCATCTTTACTTGAGACTTCCATTTTTGATTAATCTAAAAAGTCATAAGTAAGGTAGTAAGAATAATCTTTGTAAGGATTTGAGAAGATCTTACAATGTATAGTGTTTTTTTTAAATTGTCAAGGTGATGTACAGAGGGGTTTCAGTTACATAAATAAGATAATGAGTATATTTCTTGTCAACCTTATTACCTCTTCCCTCAATTTTCTCCTACTTTCTCTGCCCCCAACTCTCCCCTAAGTTGTACAGATCGTTTCCAACATATTGTCTTGTGTGTATTTTGCTGTTGCATTGGTTCCCCCCTTGTCCTTTATCTCACCATTCTGTTGTTCCCCTTCCCTTCCCTAATTCAAATAAATGTATATACGATACTAGGGTACCAAAATCAAATACAAGACAACAGAGGAGGAAGAACATACAAAAGAAACAGAAAAAATCACATAGTATATTAAAAACAACAACAACAAAGAAAAACCTCTGTGTCCATGTCTGTATATTTTTAAAAACTACTTTATAAAGTAATTTTTATAAAATATTCTTATCTCCATTGTTAGTACAACTTTACAGTATTCTGTTTCTACACAATAAGACTATCCAGAATACAACCCTTTTTTTAGACAACTTGGATGTTAGAGAAAAGCAAATTAGTGAAGGTAGTCAGGAGAATGTGCAAAGGATTAATAGTTTTATTTAAATTACTAAGTGTTTAATGGCATAAAATGTGGTTTTACAGTTTTTTATTGTCTCATTTAGAAACTTGCGTATTTCTAGGTCAACAGATGACCTTCATATTTCTAAATGAAAAGTTATTTTTCTGCCTTAATAAATGGCCTTGATTAATAGCAATATCAACACAAGAGAAAATTGGTGATAGGATTGATAGAATCTTTTACATTTCCTTATAACTAAACTAGAGAAAACTGAAAAGATAATTCTGCTCTTTTTTTTCTGTGGTATTTTACATGGGAACTTAATCACAATAAGTTACCTTAAATATACCTACTATCTAGGACACTCCATTTTAATTTTTTCCATTTATTTGACAATTACTTTTTGAGACTCTGCCAGTTCCTGGCATTGTTCTAGTTATTGTGATGATCCTACCAAAACAAATACACAAATTCCCCATCGTCTTGGGGATTGTATTTGATTTAGAAAGTCAACAATGAAAGTGACATAGACCATATGTTGTCTGAGAAAAATAAGAGGCAGAGATGTTAAGCAACTTGTCAGTTGTAATTTCTGTTTTTCATGGCAGAGAGTTGTATGAACCTTGACAAGTCCCTCACCTCTCTGGGTGTTGGTTTTCCTTTCTGGCATTAGATTGGGTAATACTTACTATTGGACTTTAATAGTCTCTGTGTGATTTTTGTTTAACCCTTGTGAGATTTTTTTGTGTGACTATAATGAAATCCAGCAAAGAGAATTTAAGAGCAATATATTTGAACATTCTTAGTAGCCTGAAAGATATTAACATTTCAGAGATTATTATTTCACTTAATTACTTCTCTTTCTAGAATGTCTTCTTTTATCTTTTCCAAGTTGGGATTAGAACTTTCAAGCCCTCTATGTGAAGGTATAGCTGTCTGTCAGGGTACTAAAGTAAGGCACACTATAGTAGGAGGAGAGAATATTTCTCATGTCTTTGGGTTTATCTTTCTGGGAATTAGTAAAGACATTGAAAGACTTTGCTTTACAAATTGTAAATTTTAAGGAAAAAGTGGAATCATGTTTTTCTTGATGAAAGATTATGATAAACTGAGTGAATTAGGACACAGCTTAGAGTTTTAAAGCAGTGTTTACAGACAGATAAAAGGACAAAGAGGCTAGATTTGTATTTCTACTCTCACCTCAACTAGCACAGCTTTCCTTTTATTTTACACACACACAAACTGAATTTCTACAAAGATTTTTATCACAAAAAAGATTTTGATGGCTTAAAAATAAGATTCCAGCTAGACGCCAGTTACTCTTACCTATAATCCTAGCTACTCAGGACATTGAGATCTGAGGATCACAGTTCAAAGCTAGCTCAAGTAGGCAAGTCCATGAGACACTTATCTCTAGTAAACCAGCAAAAAAGCCAGATAGCTCAAGTGGTAGAGTACTAGTTTTGGGCAAAAAAGCTCCACGACAATGCCCAGGCCGTGTGTTCAAGCCCAAGGATGGGCACCAAAAAAAAAAAAAAGGTTCCAAGGTAATCAATATGGGGTGACATATGAAGCACCAACCTGAGAATCAGAGCTGTGGAATCAGTCCTGGCTCTATCACCAATGAGTTGTGTGACAAACCCCTCACACACTCTGTGCCTTGAATTTTGTGAGTGAGACTTGGACTGGGTAATCTTTAATAGTCAATGTAAATATTTTGTGTGATTTTTTTCTTTAAAGCCTCATTTGAGACTTTTTTTTTACTGCAATAAGATCCAGAAAAGTGAGCATAGAAGCAATATGTTTGCAGATCTAGCAGCTGAAAATGCTTCCAACATCATTATTTTACTCATTATTCTCTCCAGAATCTTAAAGGATCTCACTTTTCCCACTTGCTCTTGATGCTTGAATGGCATTGTTATGCTTTGATTCATATTTTCATACTGATTTCTTTTTCTGTTTGCCTCCCCATATTTCATTGCAACATTTTTTTTTCTTTTGAAATCCCAGCTTCTCTTGAATGCAGTTGCCTACCTAATATATGTTATCTTGCTGCTTTTACTCTTTGCTTTGCATCTGGCTATTAATACCTTTTAAGTTTTTTTCTTCTTCTTTTAACGTTTTTACTTTTTATTTTCTGTGATTGGTATTTCTTTGTTCAATTCAGGTTAGAATTGCCCCTACTGTTACTACCTGGAGTAACAAAACTCCTACTGCCCTTCCCAGCCATCCACCTGCAGCCTCTCCCTCTGACACACAGGTATATCCTTCATTATTCCTCTTTGAGCAAGATTATGCTCACCTAAATCTATGTAGTTATATATTCTCTAACCCCCTTCTTCACACCCTTCCCTTTTCTGCATTAGTCTGCCAGCTTATTGCATTTTATTGCTTTTGGGATGCAAGAGGCATTTTTAGGGCAATTGATTAATTTTTTTATCCTTTCTCTCCTTGCACAATTCTAAATTGACTTGAGCTACAAAAATATCAACCAAGATTCTAACCATGATTTAAATGTTATTTTCCTGAAGATATTTTCCTGTTTATTTTTCCTTTTCTTTTCTCTTTTTTATTTAGCATTTCAGAAATTGAAGAAAAACATTTTTGACATCTATACTTATATTTCCAGAGTGTGGAGTAGTAGATAGAAATTAGTAGAGATGAAAAGTTCTGGTGACTTTATAAGTATTGTTGAAAATTTTATGAGGCTGTTAGCATCTTGTCATTTATTGTGATTATTTTGGGTGCATTATGGGTGGGGCTGGGAATGTGGCTTAGTGGTAGAATGCTTGCCTAGCATGCATGAAGCCCTGGGTTTGATTCCTCAGTACACAAAAAGCTGGAAGTGGCACTGTGGCTCAAGTGGTGGAGTGCTAGCCTTGAGCAGAAGCATCAAGGACAGTACCCAGGACCTGGCACAAAAAAAAAAAGAAAAGAAAAGAAAAAATTCATATAGACTGTTCATAAAATGTGGTGCTCTCAGGAAGATCCTATGTACAAGAAACAATGTTTCTTACACAACAAAATTGTATAAGTAGACATGAAGCCAGTGTCCATGGCTCATGCCTGTAATCCTAGCTATTTAGGAGGCTATGATCTGAGGTTCTTGGTTCAAAGCCAGCCTGGTCAGGAAAGTCTGTGAAACTCTTAACTCCAATTAACTAATAAAAAAATAAGTTGTACATGATGCTGTGGCTCAAAGTGGTAGAGCACTAGCTTTGAGTACACAAAGCTTCGGCCCTGTGTTCAAGCCACAGACCAGCCCTCACACAAGCAATAGATATTTAATTGCATTTCAGACATTATAAGGCTATCCTGTATGGTTCTTGGTCCCAAATATAATCTTTTTCTTTTTTCTTCTTCTTTTTTTTTTAAACTACATTCTAATTTATTAGGGAGAAAATCCTCCACCTCCAGGTTTTATAATGCATGGGAATGTTAATCCAAATGCTGCCACTCAGCTTTCTACATCTTCGGGTCATATGCACACCCAGGTACCACCTTATCCTCAGACACAGCGTAAGTAGTTTGTTTGACTTTGAGGTCTTTTCACAGAAGCATGCCTTACCTCCTGTAATGACCATTAACTTAGCTACAGTCTAATGAGTTTTAACAAAATTAGTACTCTAAGCAAGACTTCCCAGTCCCTGTTCTTGAGAAACATAGTTTCCCTAAGAGGCATCTTAAATAATCATAGTTCAGAACAGTTAGCACTTGTTCCTGAGCCATTATGTAACTTTTTAAAGAATATTCAAGTCCTGTGATTTTGATGTAGAATTTTAGAACTTATTTAGTACATATTCTTTTCCTTTGAAGCAAGATAATACAAATCAATTTTGGAAAATGGTCTCAAAAGGACATTTATTGTTGTTCTTACTTTTTATTTATTTACTATTTTTGTAGCTTTTGATTTTTTTATTGTGTTGGGGTGGTTTTTTAAGTAGTCTTCAGGTCACAGCAAAATTGAGAAGGAAGTACAGAGAATACTCACATATGGATAAACTTTCATATATATATATATATAATAGTGGTTTATTTGCTGTACTCATTCCTGCCTCTATATTACTCCAGTACCCATAGTTTACATTAATGTGCACTCTTGGTTTTGTACATTCTGTGGGCTTTGATTAATGTATAATAATATTTATTTGGTTGTTTTAAAAAATAATTGTATTTGAAACCAAGTAAAAATCAGGCGTTGATGACTCACATTTGTAATTCTAGCTACTTGAGAAGCAGAGATTTGGACAGTTGGGGTTTGCAGCCAGGCCCAAGCGTACCCATGGGACTCCCTTCAACCAATAGCCAGGCTTAGAAATACATGCCCATCATCCCAGCTCCATGGGAGGCTGAGACCGGGAGACTTGAAGTTCCATATCAGCTAGGCAGAAAAGTTCCTGAGACTCCCATCTTATTGGAAAGAAGCATATGCCTGTCATCCCAGCTTCCATGAAAAGCCTAAAAATAAGTGGATCATGATCTAAGCCCCTGCCTAGACAGAAAGCAAAAGCTTATATTTAAAATAACTTGTTTAGGGGCTGGGAAGGTGGCTCAGTGGTAGAGTGCTTGCCTTGCATGCATGAGGCCCTGGGTTCGATTCCTCAGCACCACATAAGCAAAAAGAAAAAAGCCAGAAGTGGTGCTGTGGCTCAAATGGTAGAGCACTAGCCTTGAGCTGAAGAGCTGAAGGACAGCGCCAAGCCCCAGAGTTCAGGCTCCATGACCAGACCCAAAAAATAAATAAATAAAATATCTTGTTTAAAAAAGGCTGTAATTATAGCTCAGCAGTAAGGACCTAGATTCAAACCCTTGTACTGCCATAAATAAATAAATAAATGTAAAAAATCGCTATGGTTTCAGAATTAAGAACAAAGGACCTAAATCAGTAAAAGTCTCAAAGGGGAAAATTGTTAAGATTAAACAACTATTTATAAACAAGATGCCATAAAAAAGGAAAACCAATCCTAATCAGTATAGTCAGGACTAAAGTGGTTGTTCTTACAAAATTGATGCAGGCTTTCACCCAAGTGCTCAGTGTGAAAGCATTTTCTTCAAATAGCAGATCTATTAATTTGCTCTGTAGAGATTCACCCTGTCCCTAAGTCATGCAGAATGTAATGGTGTTACTCCCTAATTTGAACTTAGGATAAAAGCAGGGGTAGGAGTGCAGAACTACCACCAAATTTTGTGTTAACTTTTTCTGATAAAGGGGGTGCTCTGGATGTGTAAGGCCTGCATAGTTCCATCTGGTGGTTTGTAGGTATTACTGCTGTCTTCATAAGAATAGGAAAAGTCTCAAAAAAGGAGTCTTCTAGCCCTTGGGTCTAATGATACAAAACTTTTCATAACCAGTAATAATCTGGGGGTGGCAGTTTTCAAATACTGGATCTAATAATTTTAAGCATATTTAGGGCATCTGAACCTGAAAAAGCTTGAGTTTTTGTTTTTTGTTTTTGTTTTGTCGGTTGTGGGGCTTGAACTCTGGGCTTGAGTGCTGTCCCTCAGCTCTTCAGCTCAAGGTGAGCACTCTACCACTTGAGCCACAGTGCCACTTCCGGTTTTCTGGTGATTTATTGGAGATAAGAGTCTCATGGACTTTCCTGCCCAGGCAAGCTTTGAACTGTGATCCTCAGATCTCAGCCTCCTGAGTATCTAGGATTACAGGCGTGAGCCACCAGCACCCAGCTTATGAGTGGTTTTAAAAGGTGGTTTTTGTAGTACTTAGAATCAAACCCAGAGGTCTTGGACATGCTAGGTAAGTTAACTACCACAGAGCTATTTTTGGTTGTAACTTACTGTTAGAAGAATAAGGGTTAAGATGATTTCCATAGAATGAGGTGATTTTTTAGCTTTCTTGCTGAATTTGTAACTAATTAAAATTTCTGTTTCTTCTCCTTGGTATAGCTTACCACCCAGCCCAGCAGTATTCCTTCGGATCAGGGGGGTCATCAATGTATCGACCTCAGCAGCCTGTTGCTCCTCCTGCTTCAAACGCTTACCCTAACACCTCTTACATATCTTCTGCTTCTTCCTATTCTGGGCAGTCTCCGCTATATACAGCACAGCATCAGACCTCCTCACCTACCTCCAGTTCTTCTGCTGCTTTTCCTCCTCCCCCTTCCTCTGGAGCATCCTTCCAGCATGGCGGGCCAGGAGCTCCACCATCAACCTCAGCTTATACATTGCCTCCTGGAACAACAGGTACACTGCCTGCTGCCAGTGAGCTGCCTGCGTCCCAAAGAACAGGTCTGCGCTTGGAAGGGATTTGGTTTGGCTCCCTGTTGTTTCATAAACAGATGGGTGGGTGGAGGGGCATTATTCTAACTGTGAACTGACTAGTATAAGGTGTTGACACACGCACACACACATATATATAGTTATAAAACAAATTTTACAAGTTTTATTCATAAATGAAGAAAGCTTTGAGTTTGAAAAGAATAAGGTATATAATCTAACACTGAACTCAAAATAAGTGGTACGAAGTTAGAAAGCAAGATAAATAGAGTTGAAATCAGATTTATTCGATATTCATTCCATTATTTGAACAAGATATACTCTGTGTTCTTCAAAAGATTTAAATTTTAAAAATTCTTTTCAGTATAAATTTATTCATGAGAATTAAACAGTAAATTAAACAGGTTCTTAAAGTTTTGCAAATTTTACAGTTAGGTTTATTTGTAAGGTTGTAGATCCATCTTGATATACTTGACCAAGAAAAAAAGTAAAATAGCACAGCTCTGATGCGGAAGCCATGTAAGGCCATATGAAGCGCAGTATTTAGTAGTGTGATAATTCTCCATTAAAACAACACTGTCAGGCATTTTGGGAATTTCTAGACCTTTTTTTCCTACTCATATACTTGTACTTGAGCCACACTTCCAGCTTTTTTGCTGGTTAATTGGAGATAAAAGTATTACAAATTTTCCTTCCCCAACAGGCTTCAAACCTGTGAACCTTAGATATCAGCCTCTTGTGTAACTAGAATTACAGGCATGAGCAACTGGCACCTGGCTGTATTACTGCTTTTGAATACAGTATCCATTGTGAATTTTTGAGTGAAATTGGTAGAATGGGTTCAAGTAAATCCTCATGGAACATATAGGAAAGAATTATATTAAGCTAATCTTGGAAATGATAGAACAGGTATTACGTATTTTCTTATTTAGATCCCACATTCTTAAGAACTAAAAATCTCTTAAAAATTGCAGATGAGGAAACTGAGTTTTTAGGAATCAGATTATGTTCTCAGGATAGCACAGTGACAGTCTCCTAGTTGAGATAAAAACTTGAGTCTCTAAGTTCCTAAAGCCTGTGTTCATTCTGTTATACCAAGTAGTCTAGTTCTGATATAAGTAATAGAAACCTTTTAATATTAGGATTTGAGAAACCATCTAGCAACACAACTTCTAGGCATTTATACTTTATACTCTAAATATTTGCATGAACATTTTTTTTCTTTTTAAGCCAAAGTGCATTTGTCTATATTAGTCTTTGCTTAGGTACTAAATAACCAAGTGTTTCTAACCTGGCTAAGAGTGACTAATAGGAAGAAGCAGTCAAACATTTTTGATATTTAGCATGTACTGCATATTCCCTTACTGCTTTATTACCTTTTGCACACTAACAGCATCTTATGTTTAATTAACAGTTATAATTTTGCCATATTAATATAAGTTGTATAAAGAATTATGACAAAATTTTGACTTCTAATAGGTCCTGGATGATTATTTGTTCAGGACTTAGAAATTCCACTTGCCCAATGGTTAATTTATGATAGACATTATAAATTTTCAAGTTCTCTGATTATGAACTACAGAGCTCAGAAAAAATGAATGTTGCAGTCAGCAAATCATTTGTTCAGTACATTCTTAATAAGTACCTGTTTAGTCTCCATTCAATACTATCCCAGACACAAGTAAGCAGAAAAGAACATGGGAGTAGCAAATGCCTGTTATGTGTTGGAACATAAAATTTCCGTTTGGACCAAATTTTTGAGAGCTTTTTATTCCACAGCAAGAAGTTTATACTTTGTATGAGAAAAGTTTCTAGTGAGATATTTTGCACTGCTGAGTGATACAGTCAAAGTGATACTTGAGGAAGATTAATCTGAAGATAGCCTTACAAGATAAATTGTGGGCATCATGGAAGAATTAGAGCAGGGCACTCAGACTCTTTCCCAGTTTGGGAATGAATTCGTTAATAGTCTAGGTTAGGAGAGTTCAGCTGTCATGGCAGAACAAGAGAGTAGACGCTTTCCCTGTCTCACTGTCATGGATAAATAAGGTTGTGCTTTGTGGGCTGGGAAGGTGGCTCAGTGGTAGACTGTTTATCTCGAATGCATGAGGCCCTGGTTTGATTCCTCAGCACCACATAAGCAGATAAAAAAGCCAGAAGTGGCACTGTGGTTCTAGTGGTAGAGCACTAGCCTTGAGCTGTTGCCTTGAGCTGAAGAGCGGAGGGACAGCACCCAAGCCCAGAGTTCAGACCCCACAACCGACCAAAAAATAAAAAAAAGAGAGATTATGCTTTGTCACTTCTTTGTTTTTTCCTTGGTTTAATATGCTTGTTTCTAAGAGAGAACTTTTGAATATGAAGGCTTTAGAATTTTACTCAAAGATTTTTTCTGATAAAGTGGTCTTCACGCCACCATGAAATTATCTCTGAGTAAAGATTATTGACTTGGTTAAGCACTAGAAAATTTAAGTTGCATGTATAATCTGGTACTTCACCTAGACAAGTCTTTTTTTTGCGGGGGGGTCCGGTTGTGGGGCTTGAACTCTGGGCCTTGGCGCTGTCCCTCAGCTCTTCAGCTCAAGGCTAGCACTCTACCACTTGAGCCACAGCGCCACTTCCGGCTTTTTTCTTTTTGCTTATGTGGTGCTGAGGAATTTAACCCAGGGCCTCAGGCATGCAAGGCAAGCGCTCTACCACTGAGCCACTTTCCCAGCCCCCACCTAGACAAGTCTTGAAAAATGAGATTTTATTTTCAATGAATATTCCTTAATGAAATTATGTATCTGATTATTACCTTCTGAATAAAGGAAAGGTACATTTTTCTTACTTCTTGGGGGGTAACTTTACTTTTACCTCTGAGAGTGACTTCAAGGATTCATGTCTTTGTAAATTTTAATTTTTAATCTTGTGACTTTTGTGTGTTCCCTGAAAAGTATTTTAGCCAGTGCATAGATCTTGCCATTATACCCCTGCAAGACTACCTAAGAAGATTGCCAGTGGGAAGGGGAATTTGATAGGGACAATATGTAGTTCCATCCACTTTCTTCCTCAAAGAAGAAGATTGAGCCCTACACTAAGGTGGATGTTGTTCTCTATTCAGTGACATTCAGTTTTCAGATTAACTTTGTTTTTATTTATTTTTCATCATAGTAATTATTTTTTAACAAAATAGTATAAAGAAAAACAACGTGGCCTATAATTCTATCATGTAAATAGAACTACAATTATATTTGTTTTTTTCATATGTACATTAACATACATATATGTATGTATACTTGCGTTACAGTTTTGATTGTAAAATTAACCTGTTGAAGTGTACATTATTTATGTATGGCATTAAGTACATCTGCATTGCTGTGCAGCCACCACCACTGGTTCATTCCCAGAACTTTTTTATCATCCCAAACTGAACACTATACCCATTATGCAGCTCCCCATTCTCACTAGCCTACAGTAACCATTGTTCTACTTTATTCCTCTGTATATTTAACTGTCATATACATATACATATATACAGCATATAAGCAGAGTCAGCAAATTTGTCCTTTTGTGTCTGACTCACATCACTTAATGTCTTCAGTGTTCATCCATGTTCTTTATATAGCTTGTTTGACCTAAGGTCAGTATTAAAATAGAGATCAATTTAATTATGTTTGTAAAATAATCTTTTAATAATTAAAGCTTTGGAAGCAAAAAGATTGAAAAGCAATTATAACTGAGACAAAACTATATTCATATAAGTTTGAACAGTGTTTATAACTAAAATAAAAGTTAAATATGTTAAATAGTTTGAAGTTGGAGGAGTCAGGTGGGCATATATTGGAGAGGTGCCTCATTATTGTACAAATGCCTTTCTATTTTAACACACCTCTTCCCTAACCACAGCATCAAATTACTCATTCTGGTTAGCAAACAGATTGTGTTCCTGTCAGTCTTGGTTTTGATTTGATTCATCTTACTCCTAACTTGCACTTGTTTTCATTATGATTTTTGTAATACTTCCAAGGGATCATATGAAAATTACTTCCTGGACTACTTTGTGCTTCTAATAGTTTGTGAATACCTAGTCTTTTGTGAATACCTAGTCTTTAATACTTAGAACTACATCAGTGGCATGTTAGAGAAAAAATAGTCTGTATCTTCTGTACCTGCCTGTCAGGAGACAAGGAAAGGCATGTTGGTAAGATTTCTTCCTGAACAAAAAGGCTAAGCCTAAACCCAAGGTAGTTCCAATACTGACAGTTCTGTGCTGTACCACTCAGCCCAGAAGCTAGGGTTTGGAGCTTCAGAGTACGTCAGAGTTGTAAATCAGGTTAATCCTGTTAATAATCAAATGACGTGATTCCTTGGGCACTGATTAACTATAATAGGATGAAGTCATATCTTGACTAGGGAGTTACAATTGTAAGGTTATCACTTGCTTAAAGTAAAACAAAATCATTGGTAGTTGTTGATCATATTGCTTACTTACTCCTTCAGTTAAACCAGAGATGAAGTTGTGTTTAGGAGTCATGTTATATGAAAACTGTCTGTTAGCAAACATTAGAATCTCATTCCACACAAGATTTCAGGCTATGAGATTACCTTTACCACTTTTTACTCTCTTGAGTAAAGAGAAACAAGTACATCTCAAACTCATCTGAATTCACTATTTTTAATTGGTTCCTCCCTATCCAAGTGTAGGTACTTGAATTCACATAGTCTGCAAATTTATATATTGTTATAGGAGGGACCATATATGATACAAAATTTTTCTGGGCCTGGTCTTACTTAAATAGTCATGACCTAACCCCAGAAATTATAGCTTCTTTAGAATGCAGATCACTGGGGTCTTTGGAATCCAACAGTGAAGAGTGGTATTAATTTGTCTTTTCCAGATATAGTGCTTATCAGATGTACTGATATACCCTCAGAACTTGGAAGGCCAGAGGCAGGAAAGGCAGGAGGATCATAAGTTCAAGGCTAGCCTAAGTTATATAACAAGACCTTGTCTTTATAAAAAGAAAAAAAAAAAGCAGCACTGAAGACTATAGGAAAGTGTAGAAACCTCCCATTTCTCTTTGAACCCCTCCTACTTGAAGAGAGGGTGAGACCAGCAGTATTGCTGGGGCAGCAGGCTGGAAAGAGAGCCTCAGGTCTATCACTTGACCTAATGAATTTGAATCTTCAAATTCAGTGAAACAGATTTTAATTTGACTCTTCAATGGATTTGGATGCACAACCTTCAATAATAACAACATGAACACATTTAGTATATTAAGCTTCAAGTAACTAATATATTGAGTACTATCACCTCAGTGATGTTAGGTGTTGCTGCCATATTATTCAGTGTACATATGTGAAAATGGAACTAGGAAATGAGGAAGTAGGTGGGATGGGATGGATGGAGGTGTAGGAACAGTGATGGAATGACTGATCGATGCATTCTACACATAAATGGACATGTTAAATTGGAACCCCTTTGTACAACTATTTGAAGAGAGAGAAAAAAATTAGTTAATTGGTGCACACCTATAATCTCCTAGCACCCTGGAGACTGAGGCAAGAGTCTTGTTTGGGACCTGCCTAGACTACATAGTGAGATTCTTTCTTAACAAAAAAAAAAGAAAGAAAAAAGGCACAGCTTACATGAACTCAAAGATGAATTACTTTACTCAAAGGTGAATTACTTTAATTGGTTAGAAGACATTTTATATAACTAGTTTAAATTTTTAAGTTTTGGCTGGGGATGGTAGCTCAAGCCTATAATCCTAGCTACTCAGGAGGATGAGATCTGAGGATCCCAGTTCAAAGCTCGCTTGGGCAGGAAAGTGTGTGAATCTTCAGTTAATTACCAAAAAGCTGGAAATGATGCTATGGCTCAAAGTGGAAGAATGATAGTCTTGAACACAAAAGTTCAGGGACAGTACCCAGACCCTGAGTTTAAGCCCCAGGACTGGCACACACAAAAAAAACACAAAACAAAAAATTAGTTTTGTTCTTTTATAAAGTTAGTTTATGGGGGGGAAAAAAAGCTACGAAAGACCAAGGGGTTGGGGGTTTAGCCCAGCAGAAGGGTGCCCACCCAGCGCGCGCAAGGCCTTGGGTTCGGTCCTCAGTCCTGGGAAAGAAAAAATAAAGTTACATAAAGTTAGTTTATTTATGGGGGTTGATGGAGAGAGGAAAAAACAATTACAAAATGAAAGGTAAAGTTAGAATGTCTTCAGTAATATTATTTTAAGTGACTTTTACATTTTGTCTACAGAAAATCAGTCTATCCAAGACCAGACATTTATGTTGGAAGGTGAATTGGTTCTAAAATATATATTTGGGATCTTTGAATCATTGAGTATAATTAATAAATGGAGACTAACAATGCATGTGAGCTTCAGAGATGATGGTGTCTTCAGTCTGATCAATATTTTTATTACTTTGCTTCTTAATTGAATCAAATTTTAGAACTGATTATGTTTCCATAATGACACAATAGATTAAATCATGAAAGTTGCCTCTTTTATACAACTATACAGACAGTAGCCATAATAAGATTGTCCTAGATTTAGGTAAGATTAGAAGGTGATAGAGATTTGAATGATTAATCTGTGTAAACAGAAGTTTAAGAATTCATTAAGCACATAAAGCGATGCTTTAATAATTGTTTGTGATCAAGTGTTTTGAGCTTTACTTAGCATTCCATGTCTTAGAAAACTTGAAAGAATTGATTCTGCTTTAAAAATCAAAATAAATAACTCCTTGATAATTAAGGATAATATATTTTTCTACGTTTCTGTAACATTGTATATGAACCACAATGTCTTTAGTTTGCCAGTTGCTATATAATATGGTGCATGTTAACCAAGTAAAAGTAAAAACATTGAAAGAATATTTGATTTATCAGAAAGGGTGATTTTTTTTTGTCATCTTCTACATGTGAAAAAAATTCTTTTTCTGTTTTTTAATTGTTAAAAATGATATACAGAAGGTTACACTTACATAATTCAGGTAATGAGTACATTATTTTTGTGTGTGAAAATACTGTACAGAGGTTGCAATTACATGGGCCAAGTACATTTCTTTTGGACAGTGTCACCCCTAAACATTTTATCTTTTTAAAACAGAAACTTATAAAATGAAAGGTTTTATAACTATCTAGTTCCTTATAAAAACACCAAAATTTATACTTGGTGAAATAAAAATTATTATGATTTTAAAATTCGTATGTATAGCATGGTTTTTTAAAAATATAGTATTAAAATTATTTAATGAGTACAACTGATGTCTGTTTTTGCTTTGAGATAACAGAAGACATTTTGTTTTTTGGTGATTTTGAAATGAAATCTACAGTTGATAGTTCTACTTGCCTTGGTTTTTTGTTTTTTAATTTTTTTCTATGTGTGTATGTGTGTCTTTTTAGCCTTTTTTTCCCCCAGAGCTGAGGATTCAACTCAGGGCCTTGCACTTGGTGGGCAAGTGCTCTTCCATTGAGCCAAATCCCCAACCCAACCCCAGGCTAGAATTTTTTAATGGCATTAAAAAAAATCTTAGTACAAATATGTAATGCCTTTTTCTATGTTTTGGGTAGTTTATAAGGCAACAATGATAAAAAAAAATGACTGATGCTATATGGTTGGACTCTGTTTTAATAGTGTCTCTACCATTTTTAGTATTCATCAATGATTTGCTTATGGTTGATTTGATCTTGGCAAGTAGGAGTGTGCCACCATTTTTCTTTTATATGTTGAACTGTATCAGCAAGTAGGAGAATGCCACCATTTTTCTTTTGTATGTAGAACTATATCAGAAGACTTTTTTTTCTAATACAGCAAGTTATTTATTTTCTTCGATGCTGGAGACAAACATCTTTATTAAAGATATACTGCGAGAATTTTGGCAAATATTTCAAAACAGATTTGTAAATTGGATACTGGTGGTTGAGATCTGAGGATTGAGGTTCAAAGCCTGGGCAGGAAAGTCTGAGACTCTTATTTCCAATTAATCACTAAAATAGCCAGAAGTGGAGCTGTGTCTCAAATGGTAGATTTTTTTGCCTTGAGCAAAAAATCTCAGCAACAGTGCCCAGACACTGAGTTCAGGCCTCAGGACTGGCGCACGCATGCATGCACATGCACACACCCATGCACATGCACACACCCACACATGAAAAGAGGTTTATAAACATAATGCTTCCTTTTTCAACTGGCAATGCTTTGAAAAGACAGCACAAATTCAATCAACATTAATTCATAATCTTTTTTTGTTTGTTTTGCCTGCTCTGGGGCTTGAAGTCAGGGCTTAGGTTCTGTCCCTGAGTTTGTTTTTTGTTGTTGTTGTTGTTTTGTTTTTCTCAAGACTAATGTACTACCACTTGAGCCATAGTTTCACCTCCATCTATTTTTGTAATTTACTAGAGATAAGAGTCTCACATACTTTTCTGTCTGAATTGGCTTCAAGCCCAGAGCCTCAGATCTCAACCTCCTGAGTAGCTAGGATTACAGGCATGAGCCATCAGCTCCTAACTTCAAAATCCTTTTTAAGACAGAATGGTAAAATGATCTTTGAAGATTCTTCAGTGTAGACTTGATGATCCTTAAATTTAGCATGACTCTTTTACTTTAAATAGATACAATGTGAAGGTACCTTGCGTATTAAGTCCTTGTGACTTCTGAAATATGAGTTTGAGAATCTGGAGCTACATAGTGAGTCCTATAACCTGATTGGTAAAACAAACTTGTGTGACAGTTAGCCCAAGGTTAAAGTAGACTTTCAACAAAGTAGTTGATGGGTTCAATTTCATTTCCTTACAGGATTCTAAAGGAGAATATTCTCTATTATCTGCTCTAGGTCCTCAGAATGGTTGGAATGATCCTCCAGCTTTGAACAGAGTATCCAAGAAGAAAAAGGTATTAAAAAAAAAAGATGTTCATCTTATGACCTGAAAATGTTATGTTAATTGGTAGCCAATTGGAGCAACTAGCTTACTAGTTGATATTTTTATAGTATATTTCAACCTGTTTATTCTCCTATATAACAATAAGAAAGTAGCAGGTAGTATGTCAAAACCTTGCTGAGGATATCTATAAATTTATAAAGTCCTTTAAGAAAGCAAGGTATAAATTTCTAGTAGGCCTCTTTCAAACAGTAGGAAACAAAATAATGAAGCTTTGCAAGTGATTTTTTTTATTTAGCAGTTACCTTGCTCATGACTTTTAAGTGATTATGTTTTGAACGTTTTACATGGAATAATGGATGAATAACCTTCTAGTTGAGCATTGTTTATATGTCAATAATTGTGAAGAGCCAATTGGACACAAAGTAAGAACTTTATATTTTTAAGATTATTCCTAATAATGCTTTTCCCCAAATATAGTAATGGAGGCAAGAAGGTAAAATTGAGAGACATTAACTGAGCAAGGAAAGACAAGATATGGTCAGGAATAATGACAAATTTAGTCTACTGCTTTTAGTATGATAGAATTAACAAGAAATATCTGCTTAGTAATCTAAAAAATAGTATTAGGTCCTGATGGCATTGAATGCATGCTCATACATGTACAGTGCATGTGATTCATATATTGCTAAATACAGTTTTGTAGACTTGACATCCTCTTTCCAAAGTGCTTGGTTTTGGCTCTCCTTTCTTGACAGTAAATATGAAAGGACAAGGGAGACAGAGAGATCCAGGTATAAGTTCCCCACCTATTTTAGTCAGAGTAGTTCTTTTGTATTTTACTTTAGAGTTCTGCATAAAATTTCATTTTATGAAATTGTTCTACTTTTTAATGTGAAATATACTCTTAATGCCCTTAATTATAAGCTGACGGAATGTTGTTATCCATGTTATTCTTATTCATGGTTTTTTTTTATTTTCCTCTTTTAAAAGATGCCTGAAAACTTCATGCCTCCTGTTCCTATCACATCACCAATCATGAACCCTTTGAGTGACCCTCAGTCACAGATGATACAGCAGCAACCTTCAGCCCCAGTACTGCTGTCAAACCAACCTTCCTTCCCACAGCCACATCTTGCAGGTGGCCAGACTTTCCCTGGCATACAGCAGCCGCTTACTCAGACAGGCATGCCACCAGCTTTCTCAAAACCCAATATTGAAGGTGCCCCAGGAGCTCCTATTGGAAATACCATTCAGGTAACAGTAAATCTGTGAAAGTGGAATGGGAAAATGGCTCTGTTTCAGTACTCTTTAATGTGTTAACTTATAAATACCGATAATGCCTAAATTTGGTTTAAGTTTACACTGCCTAGTGTCTTTTTTTTTAGATTAATCATATATGTCTATCATTTTGCAGTTAAATGACCTTAAACTGTAGAGAGAGTTAAATATTTGAAAGTATATGTTGACAATTACAGTATTTTACTTAATCTAGTCAGTAGCCACAATTTAGAGTGATCTCACTTGTGGAGTTGGTAAGCAAAAACTATTTTCAAGTTTTTCCTCTTTAAAATATTATGGTATAATGAATTACATCATTTTATATGTATGTGTGAAACCCAATAACCTTATGGTTAAATGGAGATGCACATTTTTCTCATTTTTGACACTGAAACAGATACTTGGCAAAATCCTAGTTGTTGAAAATGTAAAACATTTCCAAATGAAACTTAGATCAAAGGTATTTTGATATTCAGAAAGAGCTTAAATCAATGTCTAACATAAGACAATGAAACAAACTTCTGCCCAAATAAAAAAACTAGTTCTGTTTTTCACTTTGATTTACTGAAGTGAGGTTTATAAAAATTATATATCACAAGAATATGCTTTGCTGTTAAGAGATAATTTGCCTAAGAAATTTCTTTTTTGGGGGGGGGGTCCAGTTGTGGGGCCTGGGCTCTGTCCCTCAGCTCTTCAGCTCAAGGCTAGTGCTCTACCACTTAAGCCACAACTCCACTTCTGGCTTTTTTTCTTTTTGCTTATGTGGTGCTGAGGAATCAAACCCAGGGCCTCAGGCATGCAAGGCAAGCGCTCTACCACTGAGCCACCTTTCCAGCCCTGCATAAGAAATTTCTAAACACTGTAGGTTGCATCATATATTTTGATGAAGGTAGGAAGATTTACATGTCTTTCCACAAAAGAATCAGTTGTAAAGAGTGCTTTTTTGTGGTGGTTTACATGTTTCTGTTATTTGGGGAAGCTCCCCAACCAATTAGATTTAGACCTGTCTTCTCATACTGTTTGCATCTGAACCAGAACCTTAGTTATCTTCCAAAGGAATTGGTGCTTAGTGTTTAGCCAGGCCAGTGTTCAGCTACCTGCCTTCTTCCATGTCTGGGATATATCTTGGTGTTAGCAAGGTAAAACCTAATTCTTCCATGCAAACCTAGACTTTTCTGTTTCAGAAAATATCACTATAGTATTTTCTGTTGAATCCAGTAGAAAAAACACCAGCAAAGCAAAAACTCCTGGAATCCTCTTTATACTCTCTTGTCTTTAACCTCTATTTCAAATCTATTCCCCAAATCTTGCTGTTATTGTTCTAAAGTGTTTTGTCAGTCTCTTCTGACCATGCTGATTATTTCTGCTTTGGTTTGTCTCCAATTTGGTCTTATATCCTGTTTGCTTGAAACATTACATCTTCCCATTATCATCATCATGAAGACCAAAATATTTAACATTGTAACAAAGGCCTCAGCTTCTGTTTCTCCTTGCTTTCTCTGTTTCAGCTACACTGACCCTATTTTAATCTCTTTGTATCTTGATCCTTCCTTCATACATGTTATTCTTTCTATCTTGGGATACTTTTTCTTTCTTACTTAATTAGCTCTTAATTGGAAAGATAAGTACCTTTCTGAAACAATTCTCTGAAGGGAGCCTTTCTTGCCCTTTAGTCAAGTTCCAGTTGTGATCTTTTAGTTCCCTCAACCATTAACTTCACTACAGTTATGTTATATATGTTTATAATATTTTAAAGGTTTTTCTGTTCCATTGGCCTGTAAAACACCTTAAGGACTAAGCTCATTTCTATATTGGCTATCCAATAGGTTGCTAGAGCCCAGTACATAGTTGCCTGACATTTTCTAAATGAGTGAAAAAATGAGCTAACAAGTAACAATTCAGAAAATTTAAATGTTCCTTTTTGTTCTCCCATTTAAGTACTGGACAGTATCCTGCTCTGTCTAAACTTGTGTCTTTATTTTGCAGTTTTGGTAAGTGTTGATGATAGTGTTCCATTTAGTACCCTCAAAGAAGAAAATTGGGAATAGTGGATTAACGAAAAGAGCATCAAGCAGAGGATGGGACCAGCTATGTTTTCCAAGCCTTGTTTTATTTCCTTCTGTCACAGACTTCCTTCCTATATCAGTCTGTAGAATGAATACTTGTACTTTCAGCTTTGCTCATCCTAGGTGATTTTTCCTGTGAACTTTTTTGATTTTGAATATACCTATCTATAATGTATTGGTTTCTTTTTATTGCATAGTTTCAGGACATTGTACAAAATACCTCCGGGCCATTTCTGATCCTTTTTATAATGCAATTCTTCCAGCATGTACAGTCTTTGCCAACAGAAAAAATTACCAAGAAACCAATTCCAGATGAGCACCTCATTCTCAAGACCACATTTGAAGATCTTATCCAGCGCTGCCTTTCTTCAGCCACAGATCCTGTATGTATTCTTTTCTCATATTTTGCTTAAGCAATCCTTCTATAATTATTGCTTAAAATCATGTAAATTTCTTACAAATAATAAAACTAGCACTTACATAGTTTAATTACATATAGGAATATTTTTTATATAGACATATCAATACAATAGTAGTAAATTGGTAGTATTTATTTTACAGATGAAAAAATTAAAGTAGAGAACAATTATGTAGCACTTAAGATCAGAGCCAGTATTTCAATTCATGTAGTCCGACTCTGTATTTCATACCCCCAGTCACCAAGTTATACCACCTTTTATTACCAAACTGTTCTTACCAAACTGTTCTTTTTAATTTAATTTTATTGTCAAGGGGCTGTACAGAGGGGTTAAAGTTACATACATAAGGTAGTGAGTGTGTTTCTTGTCAAACATTGTTACCCCTTACCTTGTTTTGCTCCTATTTTCCCTCCCACCCATGTCCCCTCTCTTAAGTTATAAAGTTTATTTCCACCATATTGTCTTGTAAGTATTGCTGTTGAATTGGTTTTCCCTTTGTCTTTTTTCTCACCATTTTGTTGTTACCTTCCCTCCTTAATTCAGATAAATATATATACAATACACAAGGTACCATAATGAAATTCAGTGGCAACAAGGGATAAACCATGGGGGAGGGGGGGGAAACACAAGAATAAAGAAATAACTTCACATAGTATATTAAAAAAAATAACAACAAAGAAAACCCTCTTGTTTCCATATCTTAGAGTTCATTTTGCTTCACATCATCTTATATGATCATATGTACACAGCTATTGAGCTATTATGATCCTCTTCTAGGACTATCCTAGACATATACTAATTATTACAAATGAGAGAAATCATGGAACATACATTTATTTCGGTCTGGATTACTTAATATGATTTTTTTCCAAGTCTTCCATTTCCTTACAAACTTCCCCCCACACCCCTATAAATAGAATGTTAATAGTGAGTGGTATCCAAGAAATTCCAATTTGAGGGTTATTTCTGAGCTTACATGGAAACATCTGAAAATAGATTGTCAAAAAAAAAATAGATTGTCATCTTTGACTTTGCAAGGACCTTAAAAATAAATATTGGAGTCAATACACTGTTCGTTAAACAATACCTTTTCTGGATGAGACTTTGTCCCCAGCATAGCACATAACAGACAGTGAATAAAATGGTGTCACATCTAAGGCTACTGAATATTGTAGATAATTAAGTTGATCACTTTGTACTTTTAAACTGTTAATTTTAGTTTTAGAATAGTTTATTTCACTATACTCACAGTTCTACAGTTAAGATTAGGGAAGAGGGCTGGGCACTGGTGGCTCACGCCTATAATCCTAGCTACTCAGGTGGCTGAGATCTGAGGATCACGGTTCAAAGCCAGCCCGGGCAGGAGAGACCATGAGACTCCTATCTCCAATAAACCACCAGAAAACCAGAAGTGGCGCCGTAGCTCAAGTGGTAGAGCGCTCGCCTTGAGCTGAAGAGCTGAGGGACAGCGCCCAAGCCCAGAGTTCAAGCACCGACAAAAAAAAAAAAAAGATTAGGGAAGAGGATAAAAAACAATTGATTTCTTAGTTTGCTTTTGAGAATGTCTGCATATTAGCAATGACAAAAGTTCTACAGAGCTAGTCTGTTTTAAGTAAAGTCCTGTTTTTTGCCAATAAACATTAAAGGTATTTATTTAAGTGATTGGCCACTTGTCTACTTGAAGAAAGTAGCTTTTGGAATTTGTTTCAATAGACATTTAGTATTAATATGTTTAGCCTTCTGCTAGTTTCATGGAAACTATTTCTGTAGTGCTGGTTGGAGCTCAGTGGACAATTCGCTGTAGTGAGAGTGGCAGGAAACCACAAGGTTAACAGAATCCTTAATGCCTGGCATTCCTGGGGTGATGGAAGCAGCAAGCTAGGAGCTAGAGAGTAAATGAAGTAGATAGCCAAGTATTCATTCCCTTTTCCACAGACATAGTCATTCAAAAGTGGAAGAGTCCTAATAAGAACATGGCAGAGCTCCATGGCCCAGCTTTATCAGATTTTGTTGAGTTTAACCCCTCTGAATTATCAAATTATTGTCTTCCTGGGCAGAAAAGAATCATGACAGACAAGCTTCCTTTAATTAAAATATATAGCTTTCCTAGCTACCAAATCCTGTGGTTTAGGCTTCTGTAGTAGGTAGGATTAACTCTGAACTGGGACTAGGATTCCCTTCCAAAGGTCTATTTCAATCAGTAGTTTGAAATATTTTTTAAAAATGTGTATATTTTTATTTTCACTTTAGTTGTTACAACCTAGCATGTAATATAATCCTTAATAGGCATTTCTTCCTCGAATACACCAGGAGCACTTAAGCATCAGAGACTTTTACTTGATGTTGCTCCTGCCTAGAACTCATTCCCCACATACCTGCATTACTCAAATGTCTAGTAGTGATCAGGCCTTTCTTTATCCCCAACAATTCTAGCCTGATTTTCCATTAACTATTTTCATAGCACTCACCACCATCCTACACTGTTAGTATGTTTCCTTACTCATTAGAATATGTGCTCTAAGATGCTTTGACTCTGTCCCTGGCACAGCACACAATAGGTATTAAAGAAGGAAAGAAGACCAAAGAAGGAAAGAAAACTATTTAAGAACAGATTTTCTTCACAATTTTTTTTGGCATTGGGTGTTGATCCTTGAGCCTTGCATGCACCAAACAAGTACTCTGCTACTGAGCTAGACTGCTAAAGATTATTTCATTTTTCCTTCTTGCTGCTTTAAAGGATGCTTTAAAGACATGGGAAAGGTTAAGGGTGACGGCTCAAGTGGTGGAGTGCCTGTCTACAATAAGCATGAGAGCCTAAGTCAAAATCCTAGCACCACCCTCCAAAAAGTGAAGAGTTATGAGAAGAGGCGAGATTAAACATACTGAACAAATGCTTCTAAATGTTTAAGTAGTATTTATGTATTTAGTTACTTACTTATTTTTTTCTTTTGTCAGTTGTGGGGTTTGAATTCTGGGCCTGGGCGTTATCCCTCAGCTCTCTTAGTGCCACTGCTAGTTTTCTGAGTGGTTTATTGGAGATAAGAATCTCAGGGACTTTCCTGCACGGGCTGACTTTGAACTGTGATCCTCAGATCTCAGCCTCCTGAGTAGCAAGGATTACAGGCATGAGCCACTGATGCCTGGCCTGAACTCTGGGCCTGAGCGCTGTCCCTCAGCTCTTCAGCTCAAGGCTCTACCACTTGAGCCACAGCGCCACTTCCGGCTTTTTTCTTTTTGCTTATGTGGTGCTGAGGAATTGAACCCAGGGCCTCAGGCATGCAAGGCAAGCGCTCTACCACTGAGCCACCTTCCCAGCCCTGGCCTAATTTTTAAAAGTTAAAACAAGATTCCATAAGTCACCTAGATATTTGCCTTCTACCACCCAGTCTGTGGTAACTGAACTTGGACCTTCGTTCCTCTGGACCCAGTGCTGCTCTAGAAGGCCTATGTACATAGCACAATTGTACATATACACCCTCTACTTTGCATACTGAAAGGAAGTCTTGCCTCTACCTTCCCAATATCACTACTTTAAAGATCACTGATAGCCATTTTAATTATTTGTTTAAGTTTTCTTGGTCATAGTTGTTTCTGCTTCTTTGATAAAATGAAGCCATTTAATATCTTGAGTATAAGTTCTAGTAAAATGAGATAGGGCATGCTTTTTGGATTAAAGTTAATATTCACATATGACATTTGTGTTTCCTTTCTTTCAGCAAACCAAGAGGAAGCTTGATGATGCCAGTAAACGTTTGGAATTTCTATACGATAAACTTAGGGAACAGACAGTAAGTTTGGGAGGATAAAAGGATTCCCAAAATTATTATTATTATTAATTGCTAGCACTGTCGTTCAATATTATTGAGAGGGTAAGATTTTGATACGTTTACAGAATGAGCATTTTGCTTCTAATTATCTAAATCCTGAGGGGCGTTAGGAGAGGGAGGAAAAAATGTAACCCTTCTTATATCAAAGATTAAAGTAACTGATATTCTGCTGTTGATTTTATATGGCCCATGACCCCGGAAATCAGACACTAAGTAGGCACTTGATTCTCACAGGATAAGACTAAGATCATTTTCTCCTGGAACATCTATATCATAAAGTCAAAGCCAAATGTTCTCTCCAGATGAGTAGGTAGTGTTCTGTAACTGTGAAGATAGCTTATCTATAGCAAGGTGTCAGTGCAGTCACTGTTCTCTCTGTCTAGAATTGTTCTATTAATAATAGCAGTATAATGGGAGAGACAGAAAAAAAAAAGAAAAAGAACTAGCACTGTTTGTATTTGTACACACACACACACACGTGCGTGTGCACGCGCAATTTCTTTGATGAGAACCAAGCCAAAGAAAGTGATGTAAAATATGACAGAGCTGAGGATGGCATTCACTCCCAGCTACTCAGGAGGTTGAGGCAGATGGATCAAAGACAGCTTGGGTATCATTACTGAACATGACAAAAATTATACAAATTAGTTAAGAGGGCTAAGAGGGCTGGGGTTATGGCTCAGTGGTAGAATGGTTGCCTCACATGCACAAAGCCCTGGGTTTGATCCTCAACTCTGCAAAAAATAGAAAAGGGGCAGGGCCTGCCGCAATAGGGATTTATAAAAAAATAATAAAGGAAATCAGTTCAGCGTTGGTAAATTAATTAACTGTGGTTAAGCCTGTTTCTGTACTCATGGAAGTGGGCAAAAAATTTATGATCTATCTCTATTGCAGAGAAGGTTTTCACTAAATTGGTTCCTGATGTTGTGTCATGATTTAATAATTTTTAATCTCATTTATTTATATAAGAAAATTTGCTAAAAGCTGTAGGTTCTGTCTAAAATAGATGAGGTTATTTGGAAGGAGATATTAACATTTCAGCTTGCTTGCTTTTTTTTTTTTAAGAAAATGCCTAATTTGTTATCCATTTATAAATAACTTCTTTACATACATGACTTTGTCACAGTTCTGTTTTATAACGTAACCATTACTTGATCCAAAAAACTATTTCTAGAAATGCTAAATGGTTCAAAAATCTCTTAAATGTTTATTTCATGCTCCACTTTAAATATCTGGGCTTAATATTTAAAAGATGTCATGAGAGATATTCCTTTAGTTTAACTCATTTGGTTCCACCTTTATTTCAGCTTTCACCAACAATCATCAACGGTTTACACAACATTGCAAGGAGCATTGAAACGCGAAACTACTCAGAAGGATTGACCATCCACACCCACATCGTTAGCACCAGCAACTTCAGTGAGACCTCTGCTTTCATGCCAGTTCTCAAAGTTGTTCTGACCCAGGCTAATAAGCTGGGTGTCTGAAAGGATAGCTCCATTCTCAACTGATATTGCCATTTTTCCAAAGAAACATGTTTAGGGAAAACAAAAATGTAAGACATGGACCAATCTTCATTAGCATGTTTCCATAGCGGCCAGTCAGGGGGCATTAACATAATTTCTGCAGATATACTCACCTTAGACCTGCTCAAAACCCTGGTGCTTTCTTTTATTTTAATCTTTTGTTGACCAAGATTTTCCTACTTTGCAAATAGTGCATTTCCTGAATTACACAAGGTGTAGTTTCCTGATGGATTCTGAGAGAATGTGGTTTTAAAAACCTCAGTGTACTTTTTTAGAAAAGCTGCATCTGGTTATGCATAAAGCAGAGCTAAAACTAAATTTCTTTCATGTCCTCCCTACTTTCTTCATGTCAATCAGAATTAAAGTATGTAATCCTCTCTTACAGTGTTAGAGTCTTTAAAAGAAAAAGGTTGAGCCAGGTGCCAGTGGTTCAGGCCTGTAATACTAGCTATTCAGGAGGCTGAGATCTGAGGATTGTGGTTTGAAGCCAGCAGGGCAGGAACATCTATGAGACTGTTACCTTCAATAAATTATCAAAAAGCCAGAAGTGGAGCTGTGGCTCAAGTGGCCTCAAGCATAAAAAGCCAGGGACAATACCAGGTCCTGAATCCAAGCCCCGGGACAGCACCCCCCCCCCCAAAAAAAAAGGCTGCTGGGCTATAGCTCTGTGCCACTTGGCTACTTGGTATATGTGAGGTCCTGTGTTCCATCGCCAGCCCTTCAGAGGATTAAAAAAAATGACAGTTTTTCCTTTTAATCCCTTCGTTGAATTTCAGCAATTCTTTTAATCCCTATTTCATGTGTTTTAGTCTCCCCTGGTCCTGAGCAAATAACTACATCTGGAAACTGCAACAGATCTTAGCAAATATTAATAAAAGTATGTATCTACCTTTAACTATCTGTAGGAAGAGACTGAGCATTTTCATTTCTCTAGGACATAAAGAGTTTTTCTCCATCAGTGTTTTCAATATTCTGTTTTGAGTTCAGGGCTGAATTGGTTTCCACTTTGTATTAGAAATTTGCTCAGGTTTTTTTTTTTTTTCTGTAAAATAATTGATAGCTGGGTGCTGGTGGCACACTCCTATAATCTTAGCTACTCAGGAGGCTAAGATCTGAGGATCATGGTTCAAAGCCAGCCTGGGGAAGGAGAAGGAGATGCTTACCGCCATTAAACTACCCAAAAAAAACAGAAGTAGAGTTGTGGTTTGAGTGGTAGAATGCCAGCCATGAGCAGAAGCAGCTCAAGGACAGTACCCAGGTCCTGAACTCAAACCTCAGGACTGGCAAAATAAAACAAAAACCCTTGATAGTTTTAAAGCATTAAGTTCAGAAGGGAAACTTTAAACTTCCCAAATGAATCAAAACCACACATTTTCCAGCCAGCTTTTCTGTGAAGTGATTTTATTATAATCTCTCTTAAAAACCAAGTGTAAACAATAATGGTCTCCATGGAGTCAGTAGGAGAATTAGTTGCTAGTAGTTTTCATTGTTTGTGCAGTATTAGTGAACGGGGTTAGAAAACAAAAAAAATGAACAGTGGAACTACTTGGTAAGTAGCTGTGCTGTTTGAACTAATTTCAGCAAGCTTTCTCACAGCCTGAGTGAACTAGTTTTCACCTGTCAATTTCCTTTGCTGGGATCCCCCACTGGAGAAAACATCTAAAAACAATGAACCAGCCCAAATTTTATAGCTCACAAGAGTTTTGTAACAACAACAAATTGTATCTTATTGCTCCCACATGTATGTGTGTTGACTTGCTCTTGCTCGGCAGCCTTGGCAGTACACACTTCCACCAGTAGTTGGTGCCAGCTTGTGGTACATACCACCATTACCACTTAATAGGGAAGCCAGCTTGACTGATTGGACTAGATCCTCAACTGTAGTGGCAGCTCCTGATGCCATCTAGTTGAATTTTTTCCTCTCATTGCCCATATAAGTAGGATTTGTTTTATGTCTGCATGTTTACCCTAATGTGCCAACGGCATCATAGCCTTATTTTTCTAAGAAAAACAAAAAATATTCCCTAAAGATGAGAAACACGATTAGGTAGCAATGATGCTGGGCCAACATTTTGAGCGATTAAGTGCAAAAACCACTCTGACATCCAAGCAATGGTTATCTCTATTTTCAATAAAGTTGTGATGATTTTTTTTTCCCCACTCTGAAACCATTTCTCAATATGACTTAACAACCTTGGAGAAGTGTCATGTAACCAAGTGCAAGTATGATGAACCAAGGTTACTACCTATTTTTGTCTCCAAGTATAAGGATACACATTATGAAAAGAATAGTTTGCTTTCCTTTTTAAAAAAATCAAGATAAGCTGGGTGCTGGTGGCTCGCGCCTGTAATCCTAGCTACTCAGGAAGCTGAGGTCTGAGGATCATCATTCAAAGCTAACCCAGGCAGGAAAGTCTCTGAGACTCTTATCTCCTATAAATGACTCAGAAAACCAGAAGTGGCGCTGTGGCTCAAGTGATAGAGTGCTAGCCTTGAGCTGAAGAGCTGAGGGACAGCGCCCAAGCCCAGAGTTCAAGTTCACACACTCATACACACAAAAGATAAAAAATTTTTAAGTTTTTTAAATTTTATTTTATTGTAAAGATGCTGTGCAGAGGGGTTACAGGTACATGAGTAAGGTAATGAGTACATTTCTTGTCAAACATTGTTACCTCCTTTGTTTTTCTCTTACTGTTTCCTTCCCCACCTCCCTCACTCCCGCCCCCAGAAGTTTGTTTCCAACATAGTGTCTTTTGAGTATCATTGTTGCAATGTGTCATCCCAAATTAGAAAAATGTATATACAAGATACAGGGTACCAAAATCAAATACATTGACAACAGGGGATATACCATAGGTGGAAGGGTTATTGTTAAAGCTGTTTAACAATTAGTTTTTGTTTTTGAAAACAATAGGGAAAGTTGATTTCAACCTGATCTGGTAAGTAATTTCAATTTTAATATTTTTAGCTCAGGATGATGTTAAATATATTCCTGTCTACAATTCAGGAACTTCTGTTTAAGGCTGTCTTCCATAAAGGTCCTGGGGATAAATTAGGTGCAGTTGTCCACTTCTGTAATCCCAGAGCTCAGAAAACCGACATAGGGTCAAGAACAAGCTCAAGGCCAGCCAGGGCAACATAGCAAGCCCGATCTTAAAGGGGGATAAAAAGGTTTTAAGAATCTTACAAGTGATTGCTGTTTTGTTCTTTTCTATTCTTGTCATTACTTCATATATAGGGATCAGTCATTTTTTTTTTCTTTTTGTCGGTCATGGGGCTTGAACTCTGGGCCTGGGCGCTGTCCCTCAGCTCTTCAGCTCAAGGCAAGCGCTCTACCTGGGATCAGTCATTTTTTGATCCTAGATCTACTCAATTTTGTTCTTACATTTTGTGCATTTTATTTTATATGGTACTGATTTTTTAACTCAGTCTTATGCTTATTCATCAAGTATTACCACTCTCTTGGTTCAGATGGTCTTGCTTTATGCTCTGGCCAGCCTGGAAGGGCAATCCTAGCTATGCTTCCTGCCCCCCTGGGATTACAGGCATGTGCTACCATATGTAGCTTATTTGTTGATGTAGACCTTGAAATTTTTCCTGAGCTGGCCTTGAGCCTCTATCCTTACCAATCTCTGCCCCCTGAATATTTGGGATTATAAACATGAGCCACCATGCTGCAGAGCCTTAATTTAAAAAAAAAAAAAAAACCCGCAATTCTGAAGGGCAAGGGTGAGAGGGAAGGTAACTGGTGGGATGGGTGTTGGCTATGAAAGGTATCAGAATGTCTGGCATCTTACTGCTTATACTTCATCTCCCTTCATTGGACCCTATGGGTTGGGTGGGATAGATGTGCCCTTAGGCCCTGCCTTGAGGGTCTTATATGTCATAGAGTGTACATAGGTAACAGAGGTAATTACTCATCTGAATAATATGGGGGCAGGAAAAGATTAGAACAACTGCTCTATATCTTACTGTTGAGAACCAAGAGGCCTACATATTCTTTTATATTCAGAAATCCCCGAGCATGCTGAAAGTCAAGAAAACGTTACCTGCAAGGTAGAAGATGTCAATGACTGGTTAACACTTCTGATATCCAGTTGTCTTCTGACCACATTTATGCTCATCAAGACTGCAAAGCTATCTATTAACTCCTCTGCCAGAATGGAGGCTGCACTTGAACTCTTACGCACTTTTAGCAGTGTGTTTGTACAATTTCTGAACATCATGCCCCTGCCTGCTTTGTTCCACAGCTATCATAGCATCTCCGAACCCAGCCTTCCAGTCTGGAACCATTCACATTGTTTTGGGGTTTTGTTGTTGTCGTTTTTGGTCAGTCCTTGAAATCTGGGCCACTTAAGGCATTTTCTGTGGTTAATTGGAGATAAGAGTCTCACAGATTTTCCTGCCTGGTCTGGCTTCAAACCTTGATCTTCAGACCTCAGCCTCCTGGGTAGCTAGGGTTACAAGTGTGAGCCACTGGCACCAGGCACATCTTTTTTGTTGTTGTAGTTGTTTATGTTATGTTGGTTGTAGGGCTTGAAATCTGGGCTTGGGTGCTGTTCCTGCACTCTTCAGTTCAAGGTGAGCACTCTACTGCTGGAGCGATAGCTCCACTTATGGTTTTCTAGTGGTTTATTGGAGGTAAGAATCTCACAGACTTTCCTTCCTGGCCTGGCTTTGAGCAGCCAGATCTCAGCCTCCTGAGGAGCTAGGATAACAGGTGTGAGCCACTGGTGCCCAGCTGTTGCTTTTAAGTGTCTTTAAGTAGTACAGAGGAGTTGCCATTTAACAAAGAAGTTTATGAATACACTGGATCTTTTTCCATGTCACCACTTTCCTTCTTTTATTTATTTATTTTCATTTTGCTAATGTGGTGCTGAGGAATCGAACTCAGGGCCTCAGGCATGCAAAGCAAGCGCTCTACCACTGAGCCACCTTCCCAGCCCCACCACTTTCCTTCTTAACTACATTCTCTCCTCCCCTCCTTCTCCTCATTCATCTACCCCTTCTCCCCTTGTCCTCATCTTACCCCTTTCAACATTCATAATGTTAAATTACTCAGTAAATAAGGACAAAGGACTGATTGTACAGCCTTAGCTGTTTGGTCTTAAAGATAAATGTACAGGGCTGGGAATGTGGTTTATTGATAGATTGCTTACCTAGCAGGCATGCAGCCCTGGGTTCTAAATTCCTCAGTATCACATAAACAGAAAAGGCTGGGAGTAATGCTGTGGCTTGAGTGGTAGAGCACTAGCCTTGAGTAAAAGAAACTCAGGGACAATGCCCAGGTCCTGAGTTCAAACCCCAGGTCTGGCACAAAAAAAAAAAAAAAAGATGTTTTATTACAAAGAAATGGCAATGGAATTCTCTTTATTTCTCCAC